GATAAAACCACTAGATGTGGATCAGGTACTAATTCTGGATCTTTTTATATTTAAATAATTATAGTATTTTTTATTAAATAGTACTTATCACAAGTTTATTTAGTATTTATTTTATTTCAAGTGTTAATTGAATTTAATTTATTAGGAACAGTGCAACACATTTTATTAATGTCGTTAATTAATTAAATGTGCGAGATTAATTAACGTATGTATCTTTAAAAATTCATTCAAAGTATAATATCATTAGAATTGCCTTATGGCTTTTATAACACGTAATAAATAGCGTTAGATTTTATGGAAAAAATCAACGTTATGCTCAGTTGAGATTAAATGTCCGCGGATGTTGTTTAATCACTATATTATAACAATACTTTTATTGCACAAATTTATTATAAAAATGTTTAAAAACTTATCAAATCTTACAAGTGATACCATATTAGATTTATTTGTTTTAAGTATTAAAATAGAATATAAAATAGTATACATATCTATATGAAAAAAATGTATTACACGGAAAAGTGTACTTACATAAAAAATATTTATTTGTTTTAAGTATCAAAATAGAATATAAAATAGTATACAGAGTGTGTCATCAAAAATCCGGAAAAATTTCAATTTAAATTTTCCGCTATATTGTGCCTCTGTTAGAGATTGTTGTTAGCGTCCGAGAAAGTCTGATGCTTCTAGTAAACAGTCATATTCTTAAAATGGCCGCGATGTTGAAACCAAGGAGTATAATCGAAGAATTGCAATCATCGAAGGCCTCCACGCTGGGCGCTCAGTAACGGAAATTTCGGTTCTTTGGATACTCAAGATCAATTGTTTATGACGTGGCAAAATATACGGCTTTAGAACAGTCCAACGAAGATTCCAGTATGAGAAAGAGTCACTCAAACGCACCGCGAGGACGCCCGCAATCGTTGAAAGGGCTCAAGCGCTGATTTCGGATGACCCAGGGCAATCGAGTTGCTCGCCTCGGCTCCCATTCTGGCCTCCCAACAGCCCAGATTTAAATCTTGGATTACTAAATATGGACCGTAGTTGAAAGGATCACAAACAAGTCTCGGCATCCCAATGTGACGCCATTAAGGACCGCTATTGAGGCAGCATTCGTCGGCATGGACAGCGCTACGTTACAGCGTGCGTGCGAACACTTCAGACCGAGAATAGAGGCCATCATTCAAGCTAATGATATATATCGAATGGGATATATCGGATAATTGTGCTCTACAGAGATCCCCCAAGTGCCATGTAAAGGATTTTTTGTAATATTTAATTTTTCATTAAAAACATTTTGTTTAAAGAAATTGTTCGATTTGTCCAGATTTTGGTGACGCACCTTGTACATGTTTGTATGAAAAAAGTGTACTACACGGAAGGAATTTTTTTTAAAGTTTACTTTAAAAATATGCTAGTTGTGGCAATATTGTATTTCGAAGAATTTTAATGTAAATCTCTCATTCATTAATAAAACTATAATAAAGTATAAAATAAGTTTGATTAATTTTACTGAAGTGCATAGTAAAAAACTTTAAAATATTGTATTGTACCACAACTACCATATTTTCAAGATAAATTTTAAAAGAAAATTCTCTCTGTGTATTCACAATTGTTTTTTATTGCCAAATGTTTAATTTTTTTTAATTATCAATTTTTTAAAATTATTGATTTTTAATTGTCATTAATTTTAAATAAACTTGAATGTCTTAAAATTGCATTATTAACAATTAGATGTGGAGTATCTGCATCGACTTTCAACGATCAGTTATAATTTCGATATATATATATATATATATATATAATGATATGCATACGCAAATCATTTTTATTATCTTTATGGAATGTAACGTCACCAAAAAGGATACATTTGATGCATTGATCCGCAATTAATATTTGGGGTCTAATTGTGGATAATTGTCATTACTTTATTTAATTTAAATTAAAACATATAAAACGGTAATGAAATGGAATAAAATCATCTATAATTATCCATAATCTTTATGATCAATTATGACTATTAAATATTTTATTAATTGTTCGATATTATTCTGGATAAAAATATGAATTTTTTTTTTTAAAGTTCCACAACTAGTAGTTTTATCATATAATGAAAAATGGGAGATTTCATTCAAAAAATTCAAAGTGACCTTGCTGTGACTTAATTGACAACACCACCGAAGGTCAAATCAATGATACTATTTTAGTCCCCCTTGAAATTATAGAACTTTTGCTTGAAACATCTTTCTAAGATATTTTGAGGCAAACGTTAAAATGGGAAACCTTGTAGACAGGGTGGCCCCGAACGTTTCAGTTAGACTTCCAGATTTTATAAGAAATTTAATTTTGAACAAAACGTTTTCCATAAATATGGATTGAAAAATGCTTTCTTAAAAGTTATCATCCAAAAATCTCTGATATCAGAATTATTTTATACATTTTTACAAATCAGGGAATGTATGAGTTTTTTAACAAAAAGTATTGAAACAAAAGTTGTAGAGAATTAAATTATTTTTTAAATGAGATCAAAATGATTGCAGTGCGTTCTATATTTCAAAATAATCAGTTTCAAATATAAAAAAAGAATGTTTTTTTTTGTTATCAATGATAAAGTTTTTCCAAAAATACTCTGATTTTTTTCAAAAAATTTATTTTTTTTTTATCTTCTATTCTTTATTTTATTCTACATAAATATGAAGAGTAAGCATAAATAAGAATATCTTTAAAAAGACTGCTAATAGCAAAAATGCTTCCTTATCCTAAAATCTATAGAATATATTATAATCATTTCGTTTCATTTGAAAAATAATTTAATTCTTTACAACTCTCGTTTTGATACTTTTTGTTAAAAAGCGCATATATTCCCGATATTTAAAAATGTATATAAAATATTCTTACTTATTGTGTACTTAATCGTTACTTAATTGTTACTTAATTTCTCGCAGAGAGTTTTGAGCAATAACTTTTTAGGGAAGTATTTTTTTATGCATATTTATAGGAAATTTTTTGTTCAAAAAAATTAAATTTCCTATAAAATCTCGAAGTCTGGTTGTGAAACGTTCGGGGCGTTCTGTATATATATGCATAGAATATTTGGAATTATTTTTCTATGCAGATAGAGCGGATTAAACTGTATCGAAAAATCCTTTACAACTTTTCAATTTTTGTGATAGTCAACGAGTTATTATTAATTAACAATTCCATGTGCTTTTAGCAACCTCAATCGCTGAGCGGCTACATTTCGCCGTGCACTTGCATTCGGGTTAATAATACGGCGATTTTTAATAATAATTCGTTAATTATTGCAAAAATTGAAAAGTTATAGAAGACTTTTTGATTCAGTTTAGTCCGCTGTACATGAAAATAGTTCTAAATATTCTTTATGTATTATATATATATATATATATATATGTATATATATAAATAATATATATATATATATATACACATATATATATATATAATGTCACACACGTGACTTAATAATCAAAATTGATATATCAGTATAAATTATTTGTTATTAAGCACATTATGACTAATAATTGTCAAAGCATGCATTTAGAGAAAGAAAACTTTTAATCTTTATCAGATATAAATTACAGTGTTTACAAAACATGAACGCATACAGTGCCTTTATTTAATGTAATTAAATTTATGATAATTATTTAGATTAAGGGACCCTCTTCCCGATGATCTTAACATATGTTGTCAAGATCGTGATTCTGAGTGACCTATAGGTTTTAGCTGTCCCTTGTTATTCGTTAAAAATTGTGTTATTAACAATCAAAGTTGGTAATTATTTTCCCATTTTGCGTGAAAACTCAAATGAGTCTAGACGGGGAGGGGGGAAGTATGGCGGAAAGTATAAATCGATCAGGGGAGTATGACTTTCCATGCGAAGCGAAGTCCACTCCTCACTACTTAGAGACGTCTGACTTTCCGCACGAAACGAGATCCACCCCACTTCCACTCTTATTCAGCGACGATTTTTTATGCGGGTGGATCTTGCTTTGTGTGGAAAATTAAACACTTCTAGGCAGGGGAGAGGGGATAGAAGTGAGATGGATCTCATTTGGAAAGTTAGACGCCCTTAGTGAGGGGGAATTGGAGTCAACATTGTTTCGCATGGAAAATCAGATGTCCCTATATAGAGAGGAAGATGTGGTGGATCTTGTTATGCGTAGAAAAAATATCGACCGCTCTTATTCGATTTTTCACGCAAAGCGGATGAAATAATTACTAACTTCAATTAACTTTTTAATGAATAACGAGCAATAAATAAAATCTGTTGGAAGTCATTCAGAATCATGACTTTGATAATATATGTCAACGTCAAAGTTATCGGGGGGAGGGGGGAGGGTCCCCTAATCTAAACAATTACTAAATTTATTAATATGGATTTATTTAATGTGATGAAAATTTAACTGAGTATACAGAATATTTTTCAAAGAATTTTTTAATATAAATTCTTATATATAAACAAATTATATAAATCATAATATAATTTTTATTCAAAATAAACTTTTTACTAGAAATGTAATTAATTTTTTGAAAAATGTTACTATTAATATATGTACTATAAAACATTCTGTGTCATGAAGACTTATCAGCAGTTTCTGCCTAAAGACTAAATTATTTATGAAGAGACATTAAATCGACAATGCAATATTTTTCTCAATAATCTAATATTTCTCAGTCATTAAAGTTGCATTTTCTTATAAAGACTATTTTATACAATCGAGATTAAAATATAAAATGATTTTTCGATTTTTTTCTTTCTACTTATTTTCAACAAGTGATATCTTATCGAGCATCTATTCTTTGTGACTACATAAGGGAGAAATAGATATCAAATGAAAATAGAAGCAAGAGAATATTGAAGTTAGAAAAAATGTTCCTGAATAAAATTATCGTTATAAAATTACAATTTATCTGTTTCTTCTTGTATATACGTAGAATGATGTTTTTAATCGCTTCAATTACTTTAAACTCTTTTGAAATAGGAGTCGACTGGAAATCTTTGACAATTCCTGCGTGTCTGCCCATCACTACTGATTACTTCCCAGATAAACGGAGTTTACAAAATGATTACGTTGTGTCGGACTACAATCTTCTTCCAGATGATGTTAACGCTGATTTTGCTCAACAACGAGCAATATACAAGAAACCGCTTACAACTGTCGAAGTATTTAAAGAGCTGGTCTCACAGCGTTTGGCACAAGTATAAATAAAGCACTTAGTTTTATGTACTTTTATGTAATTATATCTGTATGTGTTTTGGAATAATCACGAAGATTGTGTTATATTAAGGGTTTCCAGCTAATTATTTTATCATCACTTAACAAGAATCAAAGTAATGCCGCTGGTAGCAATACTGTTCCAGCGATTAGTACAGTAATGCGTGGCAGACAGACTGAATCCGAACCTAAAGAGGAATATCTACTTAGTATTGGAAGAATTTTTCATAAAATATCACTGTTTGATAATTCTATAACAGTTACAAGATACCGTCCACGGTAAATATTATATAATTATAATTTATAATTTGATATTGAAATTATTTACCAACTAATTAATTGCATTGAAACTTAATATATCTCTTTATATACTTAATTTTTAGTTTTTCAACCGTACGTTTCAAAATCAATTTTGAATTTCGATGATTATTATTTAATATCATTTTACAATTAAATTAAATTATATGTATATATAGTTTATTTTATTTTCTTGCATATAAAACTTTTTTAAACTTTTTCAAAATCTTTCTAATGGATTAATACATTGAAAATAAGATATAAAACTTGTATTTAATACGTAAAAAAACATGTAAATAAATTTTAATTATAATTAGCGTTTTTTTTTCAACGAAACACATTACACAAATATACAAATTCTAACATACAATAAATATTAATAATAATTATATTTGCAGGCACCCTTATCCACCATTTAATATTCACTATCAATATCGATTTCATGCTCCGCATCATGATACGTATGAAGTCTCGCGAGTGTCTTTTACCACAGAAAAACTTGAGACCTATAACTGGAATTATCTGGACCATTACATTTGCACACGAGGTCATACTGATTTTGCTTTAGTGGAAGTGAGTCGATTTCCAAAAGTCTGGTTTTTGTATTATTAAGATAATACTAACTTAGATGTTTCATTTTATTTTAGGATCTTAAATATATTTTCTTTCAGGCTCTCAAATATTGGAGGTTTCGAGTATTTCTATTACCATATAATAATCCTGCGACTCGTAAAATTTTAGAAGGTTCTCCAAGATGTGATATATACACTACGCTTAGTAATGCTGAACAAGCATCATTGATGGACGGTTTTTTGCGCTTTATCGAGGGCTGGCTGAACAAAATACGGCGACCGAATCCCAATAAAAACTGGGTAATTTTTTTCTCTCTTTATATTTGTTATATATTTATAGAGATAAATTAGCAATTCTCAAATTATTATTTATTTTAAATGTATAATTATTAATTTGACAAATAATAGAAGACGTTTCAAAAAGTTGCATTGTAGTAACAAAACTTTATACTAAAAAATATTGTCTATTTTTTTAAATTTCCAATCTTAGGGGAATATTAAGATAACTAGTCTTCGATTTAGCTGAATTAGATGTGTGTGTGTGTGTGTGTGTGTGTGTGTGCGCGCGCGCGCGCGCGCGCGTGCGTGCGTATGTACATATATAATACATTATCAGGGAATGTAATTAACTCATTACTTATGACGAAGTTACAGATAGAAGTTACTTTTTTTAAGTAACTTTATTGGTAACTGCAACGGTAATGTAGTTACATTTTTTTGGTAACAGTAACGAATTTTACAGTTACTTTTATACTTATTTTGTACACGATTGGACACGGTTCGATTGGACACAAGCCACTTATAGCGCTTAAGACTATAAGAAAGCCCCTAGGCATCCGTTTGTTGCGATTGGTGGTCGATTTTAAGAAAGTAACGGAAAAATAATGAAAAGTTACTTCCTCAAGTAACGGTAACTGTAATGAGTTACTTCTATAAATCGGTAACTAGTAACGGTAACTTGTTTCTTTTTCTACTCAGTAACGAGTAACTGTAACTTGTTACTTTTAAAAAGTAACTTTCTATTCTCTTATTATATATTGGGTCCCACAATTTGTGACTGAAATTTTAATAACATATTCGTGATTTAAAAATAGGGATAATTTATTATGTTTTTATTTTCTTTTCCGATTGTAACTATTATGTATGTTTTTAATATTGAAAATGATCCGATCGCGATCGAAACGTCTGCTAGCTTTCTGTATTAAATCTTAACTTAAAACATTTCTGTTTCTTTTATTTTTTTTACTTTCTGTGTTATCATGTTTATTTTATATAATAATTTTTGCCTCTTTTTTCTTTATTTTAAAAATAGGGCAAAAATCCTAATACCAAAATGTTGAGGCTATAATAGTTTCTAAATTAATTCGTTATACATATTTAAAATAATTCGTTATATATATTTATTATTTTTAATATCCTGTAATATTTAAGTTTTAAGTTTTGATTCCTTTTTACAGATTCATTCTTACTGACCGGTACATTAATAACATGTAAATATTTAAACGCGTTATTCTCGCGAATACTTACGAGACGCATCTTATAACTTTAACCGGCTTTCTATAAGAAATCATTGCCTAAGCTTTAAGTCTTAAGCCATAAGAAATTGGTTAATCATAATCGATTATTCTTCTTACATTCAACTGATTGGTTATTTTCTTATGACTTAAGATTTAAAACTTAAGCAATAGCTTATTGTAGAAAGTCTATAACACGAATTAAGTTAAGAGCAGACTCTTACAAAACGCATAAAGCATAAGAAAATTAACCAATTAGAATCTTTTATTTTATGGAAAGAAAGGAAATGAAGGGGTTTATTTTCTTATGGATTATGTATTACGCAAGAGTCTGTGCTTTCCACTTTAATTGAAGGGCTGAACACAGGCACGCATGCACGCAAACACACTATACTCACATATACAATTTAGCTAAAACGGAGACTGCTCATTTGAATGTTCTCCTTGTCAATTTGTTTAAATTATCAGATCTTTGTTATTGTGTAAAACTTGAATATATGATATTGATATAAATCTTTTTGGGACATCCTATTATATTTACAAATATTTTAATTACAGTTATTCTATTCTACGTAATATTTATTTAAAGTTGCTTGATAGTTTTGTTGTAAATTATGCTGTTGAGGAGATATGTTCTATTTATTTTTTTAATATTTAAAAAACAAAAAAGATATAAAGATATTTCATGTATAAGAGTAAGTTTCATAAAATTGGAATTTTTCTGTCTCACACTTTTAAATACATTTGAATACGTTAAATTGTATTCTATTTTATCACAGAGAAAGAGATAATTCTTTATAAAACTCAGATCTTGACTCATGATCTTGACTTTGACATATGTTGTCAAGATCTTGATCCTGAGAAACTTTGTTTTAATAATTAGGTGTGATCTCTTATAGTTTTTAAGATATTTACGATTAAGGCTCCTCCAGTACTCACTCCATATTGAATCGTGATTAGCGAGAAATGTATTATAAGCGACACATTGATTTTTCTTGCATGCCATTTGTAAATAAAGAGAATTTAGATGAAATGAAATGATGAAATCGCTTTAAAACACTTGTAAAAATGAACGAAAATTATTTCTCTTGACAGTCAATAAATAGTCAATAAAAGGCACGTAATGTGCGTTTACTAGTTTTTACTTAATGCGTAGTCTATTTTCATTTCACGAGCCTTTTTCGACTCTTTACTGACTAAGGAAGACAAGGAGAGTCTTCGTTCATTTTTACAAGAGTTATAAAGCGATCTAATCATTTTCTTTCATCCAAATTCTTTTTATTTACAAATGGTATGCAAGAAAAATCAACGTGTTATTTCTCGTTTACGACGTCACGATATGGCTGAAGTAACTACTCAGGAGTAGTTACTTCAAAGTGTGTAATTTCAATAAGAAAATTTAGTTATGGAGGATAAATTCAGACGACTTCGACTTTGATTATATGTTGATTATATGTTGTTGCTCATGAACCTGAGTAACTTTTCTTTCATATCTAGGTGACGGTTTTTCATAATTTCTGAGATTTAATCGCTCTCGATGGAAAAATTGTGAACCTATATAAAATCTCACTCTTTACATCTCCGCTTATGGCGGGGAACACGGATTCCTGTATAGCGCGTACATAAGGTATAAGAAATTCGATCTCAATCAGAATTCTTTATTTCAAAGGAAGGAAACAAAGGACTTTGATTAATTCATTTTCTTATACATAATATGTTATGTATTATATAAGAGTCTGTGTTCCTCACTTAAAGGCACGCAAAAAAAACTTAAACAATAAGATGTAAGCAGTAAGGAAATCAATTACCTCGTTCATAACTCTCTTGCCCAGCGGACTCCCCATTTCGAAATAAAAAACCATACAGCTCAGAATTTGGAGCAATTTATAAGCTTCTAAATCCCGCAAAAAAAAAAAATTTTGAGTCCGGTTAACAGGAATCTTAATTTAAAGGTGGGAGTTCACACAGCTCTCTTTATTGTTAATTTTTATAGGGCGAGGGGGGGGGGGAAGATTGAGTGACTCCTATCTTTAAATTAAAGGTCTGTTTTCTGAACCAGTGTACACTTTTGGAACTTAAAGCGAAATAGGTATATGTTTAATATTTGTCGAAAGCGAAAAAGAGACTTCTAGTGCAGTCTAGTGTAGGGACAGAAAACAGACCATAAGATCCCTGCTAACTGAGCTTAACAAATTTTTTTGTGGGGTTTGGAAGTTCTTTAAATTGATTCAAATTCTTTCTGAATTATACGTTTTTTTATTTCGGTATGGTGGGGGAAGGGGGACAAATGGACAAGGATGTTCATAATCTTGCTTTAAGAGGTTCTAAGCCGTAGACTATAAGAAATTGACCAATCTCAGTCGATTTTTTTTCTTATATTCAATTGTGATTAGTTAATTTTTTAAAGCTTTACGACTTATGGCTTCTTAAAGCAAGATTATGGACAAAACTAATAGCGTTTTTCACTGGGCCGCACTGAATATGCACCAAAAACTCGTTCAGTGGCAACAGCACTGCACGAGATTGCCGAAAGTGCGAGTTTCTTGCACTCCCAGTTAAACACATGTGTCGATTTTGCGGTTTTATAGTACACATTTGTCGCTATATTTAATGAAAATATTGCGTATTTCGTCATGAAAGGATTTATGCAAGAGAATGCATATACATGTACTATTTTGTAAGTTCTTATCCTGGAAACGCGAAAATGACTTTTGAACTGTAACAATAACATATAATTATTTGTAGTACTGATATTATTATATAATATATCCTAGTAAGAAATTTTTCATGTATGATTATATAAATCATTATATAAATATATATATATATATATAATTATATAATACGAAACAAAAACATATCAGAACTTTTTTCTTAGTTTATCGATTCTCTACACGCTCCCGAAGTTTTGATATTTAAATTCCAGACTACCTTATTCCAGATTACCTTGTATAATACGACATATTTCATATGTCCATTTATGTTCATACATCTCTCTTTTGTAAAATTATTGTTTAGTGTGATTAAAAAAAATAATAGTAATGAGAGAAAAAAAATGTAAAAAATAATTAATAGAATAATTGCGAAAATGATCTTTTTAATTATCTTTTTATTGTTATTTTTCTCATTATTGTTATATTTTTATACTTTTACAAAAGAAAGACTGACATACGGAGATACGATATATACATGTATATATCTATATATCATGTGTCCACGGACACATTTTATACATAATTATATATGTTTATATGTATTTATGTGTGTGCATACATGAAAAATTTTTACTGAGATATTATTGTTTTATGTAATACCACAATATGCAAAAATAATGAAAACATAAGCACTGTTATATGTACTTATATTTATAATACTTATATGTACTTACTACTTTATCCGTAAGGATATTATATACTTAACAAAATTTTTGATCTTCGGAATTTTCCATGGATTATTTTTGAGAAATAATTCCTCTTTATCACTGCTAGATGAAGAAAGCAAATCCAGCAATTCAAATGCTAATTGTGCATCCCGCGCTGCCATATTGAACTGATCTAACATCATCTTTCGGAACTCGTGCCGAATTCTTGTACTAACGTGAAAAATTTGACACTAGGTTTCCCAATGAAACAGCGTGCATCGTTTTCGTGCGCACTGAAACGCCCAAATGAAATATGTTGCCCCTGGCAGGGAGTATGCACTCAGTGCGCACCAGTTCTCCCAATGAAAAACGCTAAAACATGTTCTATGAAACGTTTTAAGTCAACAACGATTAATTATTAATACATCTCATAAATTCTCAATGAAAAAGTGTGTGGACAAAATCACTATCAAATAATTCCAATTTTTTGAGTTACTTATAATACGGAATATAAAAAATTCTTGACGACAGATTTTTTTCTGATTTATATACGCGTGCGTGCGTGCGTGCAGGGCGTTTCAATAACTGTCACCACCTTAAAAATCTTTGGATAAATTTTCTAAAACCGACTACCTCCAATTTCGATTAAACTTTTATAACATGCTTCATTTCGGGTTAAAATGAAAACTCTTAAAGAGATTTTTGACAACTTCTAAGGAAGTCATTTTTTAAATTGAAATAAATGAATGATAAATATTTATATTAATAATGAGAAATTATCAATTTTAATTATCTAAAAGTATATTAAAGAGAAAAGCTGTCTTATTTTTCTGATATCTAATGTATTAAATCTTCGCCTTACTAAATGAATGAATCTACAATATATACTATATATACTAGTAGCGTTTTCGACCTGACCGCATTTGCATCAACCTTGATTGGATTAATGATGTTTCGTGCTGTCAGTGGCGGATTTAGATAGAAGCCTATGAGACTCGGACCTAGGGGCTCCTTCTAGGGACTAAAATTAAAATTAAAAGACTGTTTCTTTTTCCACACCAAGTTCTGAATTGATGTACACTGATACATCAAGTTAGAGTGAGACAGGTATAGTTTGTTTCATTCTAACATATTGCACTAGTTCAGAACTAGTAGAGAATTCTTCGAAATATAAAGGAAAATTAATTTTACATTTATGCAGAATTGCCAGTTGTGATGCATTTTTGCCAATATGGCATTGAAGTAGTGCTTTGGCGAACAAAAATAAAATTTTGACGTTTTGGTGAAAAAGTGATACCTTTCAATACCTTATTTTTTATTGTTCATTTGTCTGAAAGAGGCGTTAAGTGTTTTAAAGGGGCGTCAAGAAATAGGGCTTAGGGTGAAAAAATGTGTAAATCCGCCACTGCGTGCTGTGCTATTGACAGAACATATAATGTCAACCAATAATAAAGCTTAATCTAACCCAGGTTGCAAACCCGGATGGGATTGCTGAAAACGCTATAAGAGTAATAAATAAAAAAATTAGACAGACCTCAACGTAAGATAGTGTGTAAATTGGATACCTATATTTATTAAATCTTTACCTTACTAAATAAGTGCAGTATACTAAAAATAATAGATATCGAAAAAATTAGGCAGATCCTTACGCAAAGTAGAAGATATTATATGTACTGGTTTTAATGCCGTTTAAATATATTACAAAATGTATCATATTATAAATGTAAAAAAATTAATTCATTTAATTCATTTAATTAATTCATTTAATAAAAGATAGGTTGAAGAAACTTAATGACTTTTTCTCTTTAATATATTTTAAGATCATTAAAATTAACAGTTTTATCATTATGTTGGTGATTTGAGCACTCACTATTCATTTCATTATTTCATTAAAAAAAATTATATAGTCCCAGTTTAAAAAAAACGTTGGTCTTAAAATCTCCGAAGCACCTCCAAACAAAAATTATTACCGTTATATGATAGCGTTATATGACCCCCTTTGTATCGTGTATTTTATTACACAAATTTTCCTCTGAACCTTATAGATTCGAAGATATTTAAGGCGGTATAATAGTTATTCAAACACAGGAAAATAATATATAAAAATTATTATTTTCTGAAATATCTCCTCTATATTACATTTGAATGTTGCATGCTCATATTTTATTGATTTGCGCAGACTTATTTTAATGCTTTTGTTAATTATTTATATCTTATTAATTTTTGAATTATGCAGTTTTTATGAGCATATTTATTGTAGCATAAAATATTAATTCTTATTAGCGAAATAATAGTTTCTGACAAAACTTAATTTAATTATGTGTAGATAAAATTGCTGTACAACATGCTGAAGAGAATAAAAAACACTAGAATATTCCATTACTTAGAAATTACTAAAAGAAATGCACGGCTTTTTACAAAATTTGTTTTGACACTTTGCGTTAGCACCGGCCTAACATGTACAATAGTAACATTCTCAGCAGTATTAATTTACTACTTAACGATATAATACTTATACTCTTATACCTATACTACATATACGATCGTTCCGAAATACATATCAAAGTATTTATGATACGTACGCATTGATAACAGATTAAAATAATGATTATGAAGTCACAATTGGTCTCTGCTTACAAATAAATTTACAAATACGGTGTTACGTATAGGTATGATAAGTAGAGACTTGTAGCTGGAATGTTTGTATGGGGAAGGGTTTTCAGCATGATATGTTTCAGAGCCCCACAGCTCTAGGTGGTGTCCCTCCAAGAGATCCTGCCTCTCATTTGACCAGACGCAGGCACAGCACGAGCCTGATATTCCTCACTAACCAGGTACATCCTTCCCTCCTATAGCCTCGATACACTGAGTCCAATTGTTGAGATTCTCGTTCATACGAGCTTCTGACTAGTTAATTACGCGCGAGATATAATAAGAGAAAATTTCTTGAAGAGCTCTCCTTTAATTATCTATGAACTTGTATATCATTCTTGATATAGAATATTACGGATGAACTAAAAGTTGCAGCAGAAAAAATAATTGTGCAGAACAGTAAAAAGAAGATTTCGAGATCATTCAGAAAGCGTAGAACAAACTATTACGAAAAATTAATACATAACATTTTGTCATCTTTTTTGGAAACTTATAATTGAAAAATCTCTTTTTACTTGGATGTGGAATGGTTTCAACTGGTGCAATTTTACCTTATTTCTTAAGGCTAGATATATACGAATTTCTTGATAGAATCGCTTCTTTGATACGTGTTACCTGGAATGATCAGGCCAGCTTACACAAGACAATATAATCTCACGATAACTGTAATCGTGCTTGATATATTTTTGCATTGAATGTGTATCTATGATTTTTAGCGAGCTTATCCGTTATGCGTCAGATGTCACGATGTATTTGATTTACACTTTTCTCTCATTTTACGTACAGTGCGTCCTATTTTAATTTATCCAGTCGGTTTTTTCAAAATTCTTAAGTTTAAGATGAAAATGTTTCAGACAAAAAGTTTTATGGCTTCAAGGAAGAAAGAAATTGGTAATCTCTTATAGCGTTTTTCATTAGCAAAGCGCACTCAGTGCACTTTAAAGTCGTTGTACACAAATCAACTTAAAGATGTACGTTTAATAAAAATATATAAATGAATTAAATCGCAAAATCCTCAATATATTTTATTGTGCTATTTGATAAAATATACATTGGGTATTTTATTAATTGAGATATCTCACCATAAAACTTGTGGATGAAACGTTTTCGTCTTAAACTTAAGCATTTTGAGAAAACCAGCTAAATTAAACCGGATAAATTAAAAAGGACACCTTGTGCGCGCACACGCACACGCACACACACACACACACATTTATATATGGGTTTCATGTTAACTGGATCATCTGTGTGTCTAAAAATCAACGCAATGAAAATAAATCAAGCCAAGCAAGGTCTTGATGCTGAGTTATTTATGAAACAAAAGTTTATTATAATAAACATTTCGACCCCGATTGGATCATTCTCAATATTGAAATTAATACAATTTGAAATCAACGACTTATTTGAAAAACAATAACTTGTCAATATTTATAAGATTTATGTTATATCTATTATTATAATTTTATAAATTATTTGAGCCTTTTTCTTATATTATTTTTTAGAGATTGAAATTCTGTAACCTTTAATTCTATTTTTATTTCTATTCTTTTAAACATCAAGTTCTCAAAGGGATATTATATATATATATATATGTTAATATTTTAAATTTCGTGCTCTATTACAATAAAAAGTATGTAAAATGCAGTATTCGCATCGCAGTATTTCGTAGCTGTAACAAATTTTCAAATCTGAATAGACGAATCTATTTTAACGATGGATCTTCTGACATCTGGATATTACCAGTATCATCCTGGCACAGCATGTACTGATCAATGTTCAGGATTATGTTATCCATCACTTCACTTGCAGCGGTAAGCTCGAACAGTAACTTTCCCACCCAAACAGCCAACTGCAAACACGCAAACGACCTCCGGTTTGAGTGTTCGGGTCCTACCAAGCTAACGCGTTAACATCAGTGACGTCACAATCGCAAACGAAAATGATCATGGCGACTTCTGGTTGGTTGTGGTTGAATAACGAAAATACGCTTAAGGTGTCGATGTAATGTTCATTCCTTTTCAACCATATTGGATCCGCCATATTGGATTTTTAAAAAATGTTTCCTTCGAAAGTATATGCATGTATGAATAATTTGAGACATTGAATGTTTATTTTTGTTGCGCTGATTTTTGAGCACGCAGGTGATCTGGTTGACGTAAAACGTCTCGTATATACAGAGTATTCCATTTTAATTATTCCAAGCAAATATCTTGTAAAATACGAAAAAATGTTTCAGACGAAAGCGGAACGGTTTTAAGAAGAATATTATGGATATATTGGATATCCATAATTTAGGCCATTTTCCTGCATCTTAATATTAAGCATTTCAGACATTAACCTTTTCCCAATATATCTCTCATTATCAAAAATTTTGATGTTACTCAAATCAAAATCATGTTCAAATTGCAATCTACGTTCAGAAATAATAGACAAGTTACCGCTCTTTTTATTAATGTCATTTTTATGTTCGTTAATTCTCTTTAATTTATGGCTCGTCTGTCCAACATAAGAGGCGTTGCAATTTTTACAATTAATCTTATGAACTATATTTTTCTTTGAATCATGAGAAAGAACATCTTTTTGCGCTTTAATAATTCCGTCAAGTTTGTTTAAACTGAAGAAAGACAATTTAACATTATGATTTTTGACTCTTGAATTTGTCATAAATACAAGGCAAAAAAGAAATGGTAAACTACGAAGTTGTTTTATTGTTAATGTTAGTTTTATCGGTTTGTTTAAGTGTCTTACGTTTTAAAAGAAATCTTAATCGTAAATTGTTCATTTCAAAAATAAACTTAATAAGGTAATCATTGTCCAAAAATGTCTTAATAATAAAATTGAAATTATCCTTATGATATTTTGGATGAGATAGTAGAAAAGTTCTGTCACCATGCTCATAAGAACATCTCTTTTTTGTGAAAGAGGATGAAGAGAAAAAAAACTGAGATATCTTCCTGAAAAAGTTAATTTATGATAAATATTAAATTCTAATGTTTCGTTTGCCTTAATAATCGTCACATCCAAAAAATTCAACCGATTACAATCAACTTCCAAGGTGAACTGCAACCTTGAAAAAAGTTAAATATCTCTAAAAATTTTTCAATTAAGTGATTAGAAAGGACAGCAGTCGCGATGTCGTCAACACATATCTAAAATAAAAAGATACCTCAGTTCCAAATCTCTCCAAAGCTTTGCACTCTAAATCTTCCATAACCAAATCTGCAATGATGGGAGACAATGGAGAACCCATGGGTGTTCCAAATTTCTAGTGTAAATTCTGTCATTAAAATTAAAGAAAGTAGACTCTAATACTAATCTCTTAAAGCTTTAAGAAATTCCTCTTTTGATATACAATAACGACGCATAAAATGTCATCTGTCTGAAATACTTTTTATAGTCAAATCTAAAGGAAAACAATGATATTGTTGTTGATAAAATGATATTGCATCAAGAGAAATCAATGAATAATTATTATATATTATAAGCGGTTATTATCTGAGAAAGTACATATACATATACGCAAAAAAATGGATTTAACTTACACAGATGTCTGACACAGATGGATTACATCATGCTTATGCATCCATGTTGAATAACTTGATATAATTTATATTTCAAGACAGCGATAATAAATTTACTTCATAATTTTAAGCACAATATTAATGCGACGTTTAAAATTTTTGTTTGTTGTTCAGATTTTCTTTTTAACTAACCAATTCATTTATTAATTTATATTTGTAACTATTCTTTCATTAATCAATTCTTGTATTAAATTATATTTTAAACTATTACAATAATTTTCTCTTATATTTGTTATATCTATGAATATAATTATATTTTTATATATACTGGTGTGAAAACTGGAAACAATCAATATAGTAATATTACTGGGTAATTTCTTCTTATAAGAAGCAATCTCGTGGTGATGCCGTATATGAAAATGATAGATCTTGCTGAGTTTTTGTTCTCAATTTGTTGGCAAGTTATGTCAGCAGGTTCTGTTCGATTTCTATCATCAATTTGCTGGTATAACATTAGCAGGCTTTGTCATATTTTTGACAGCAGTTTGCTGACAATGTCTGATAGTACAAATTCTGTATACAATTTGTTGCCTTTCTACAATCAAAAATTGATAGCAGGCTCTATTCGAAATCTGTCTCCGTAGGATTTGCTTAGGGACCTTAATACTTTTATAGAAGAATTATGTTATGTAAAAAAAAACCTATATTACATCTAAGAAATTTTAGATAATCTTGACTTGACGTTAAGGACATCTTTTCAAGATTAATTAAGATCACTATCTTTTCCTCTTTTGATAACTGAGCAATTTTTATCTGAAACAATTTTGCCTTAAACTTAAGGATTTAGAGATATTGACTGAATGGATTAAAATGGATACTTTGTACATATCTGTATATTGTATAATGTATATGTATACACATACATGATTTAATATCTTGTACAAGAGCGACACTTTTTAATGTTGAACGTCGCATTTTAGTTATATATACATGTTCACGATATCATCAGCTTGATCATTATCATTCACAATTACTCTTACATATCATCATACTTTCCAGACCAATCTAGTTGGCAGCTCTCCTTTCAGGGAGCGACTCGGGAGCAACCGTCTGCCAGAGAAACCGAGACCAAGGTTTGAATATGTTTACCTTGATGATTTCAGCATTGTTGCTTTGCGCCAATCTTTAACTGCATAGTTTTGCGGATTTCTCTTTTGTTCTTTTTTTTCAGTGGACTATTTCAAATTGGTGTGTCAATAATTTTCATTCTTGCTTGGTTTATTATGTCGGAGTATCCGCTGGAGCGGATACTTTTGCACCACATTATATTTAACTGGCTTATTGATTTTGCGAAATCATACATTATTTTACTAATGCTACATATTTTCAGTGTGCATTTGATATTAGGCAGAATTTACTTGTAGTAACTCCAGTACAAGAATATATTTGATTTGAATGAAGATAGAGAATCAAAGAATAATCCCTGAAAAAAATCATGTTACAATGTTATGTGATGTAATTAAAACATGTAATCACGTAACGAATTGTTCCAAATCAGTACGTGATTTTTTCAAATGACGTAATTTGAAAAATCATATGATATTAAAATTTTTAATTTTATCCATCATGTGATTTTATAGTTATCGAATTTTAAAGAATTGAATGATAAAAATAGAAGAAAAAAGAATATATATCATGTGACTTTTAAATAACGAAATTAAAAAAAAAATCATGTACTGATTTGGAACAATCCGTTACGTAATTTACATGTTTTAATTACATAATTTCATCATGCAATTACATGACGTGATTTTTTTTAGTGGGGACAGTTAACGCTAAAATGCACACGATGATAATATGAAGCATGAACATAACATGATCACTGAATTATTCTTTGATGCTTTATTAGAGTTTGACATTGTTTTATAATGTGTATGGGTATATATTCCGTATATTAAATCAATTTCTTTTCAGTTTAACGCTTTCGGTGATTGCTCCATACTCTTGCTAAATTCAGAAGCACAATTAAAAAAAGGATGCACCGGTACATCTGACATAAACATTGCGTACAACGTTTTCGACCGCACTATTATCGTGCATGTCTTTTTTTATTTTGCGTGATTTTTATAAAGTATTTTTGAATGTCTTTGCGTATTACATATACTATTAACAAATTATTCTTATCCCGCATTTTTGTTCACCTTGGGCTTTGGTAACAACCGCCGCGACACTTTGATTAATATCCTCCCGATGTTATTCAATATGGAGCAGGTGCGACGCATTAGGAAGAAAGCGAGAGAGTTTAAATAGATCCCCCACATAGTTTCTGTTATCTTTCAGCTTCTTTCATCTTTTTCTGTTTGTCTGATTAATGCCTGGTTCAGAAAGCATACATACACAACGTACTGAGGACAAATGAGACACAAAAGCTTAAATTTAACAGCATCTGTATGTATGCTTTATGTGACCATTTAGAATATTTTGGTAGTGAGTGAGGGAGTGACGGGGTTGTTGCTCCTCTGTACAGGAGAGGCATGTAGTGAATACCGCTGCGGCTGCCCGCACGTGCCTCGACACTCCTCGCCACGTGCCAAACAGGTTGGTCTCACTCTCTTATTCCTTTTGCAATTCAAATTAATAAAAACGCGTGAGAATTGTTCCTGTAAAGATTTTTTTAAATTTGATTTGATAATAAAATAAAATAAAATATTTTTGCTTGTTTTAGATAGCGTTAACATATAAATAGCTTCGTAGAATTTGCATTTTTTTCTACGCACTAGTACAATGACTTAATAAATGTTCTCTGTTTTCATACGTGATTCAGATCTGGTTCTAAAGTAATGGACAGAGGACGTGTATCACCTGCCAGTGAAGCTGTTTTGCCGTTGTCGCTCGAGCAACAACAACAGCAGGATCATTTTGATGCTAATGACGACAGGTACAAGGATATTATTTACTTTAATACTTGATTTAACGGTAAAACGGTAATATGCGTTAATGCTTGTGTTTGGATACTTTATTTAAGAGTATTTGTATACAGAATCATTCATTTGGTTAATTATGAAACATTTGGGATTAAGTTGCATTGATTATTATCAATACTTACAATTAGTGACTTCCTCCTAGTGTACCTCTTTTTTTTTATTAACGTTAGTTATAAATACTGTATAATACATCATGGATATATACTATATATTAGGCTTGGTGCCGGATTGCACATTTTGACCGATTTTGCCTAGCGTCATCCCTATTCCTTTTCATAGCATTTAGACTGCGCGCGAAGACATACAACGATCGAGTTCAGAGACAATATTAAGCTGTAAATCGTCACCTACAAGGCGTTGTAGGGCTATAGGATTCTGAAACATATTGCCCTGCGTTCATTATTTACAGAGTTTTATTAGAATAAAAGAATTTTGATATTTACGACGGCAGGAAATTAGTTATACACCTAATATTATTATTATTAATATTATTTGGAATATCAAAAGTAATACTTCAAAATAGAACAGGTATGTTAATTAAGTGTGTACACACACTGTGAAAAGTATATCTTGATTTAAAAAAAAATTTAGTTGGTTTAAAAAGTATAATATAATATAATATTTATTAAAAATATTTAATGTTTAAAATATTATTTTAAATTAATTAAAATTTTTTTGAAATTAAAATATTTTAATGTACACATTTAGTTAACATATGTTTTGTTCTATTTTGAAGTGTAATTTTTGATATTCTAACATCTAAATAATATTAATAATAATAATAAAACTCTGTAAACAGTGAACGCGGAGCAATATGTTTCAAAGTTAGCTCTATAATATTATATAGTTTACAGCTAATATCGTTCCTAAACAAAAGTGGCAGAGTAAATTTTTTGTATGGTGGGGTGAGTCCAAGTTCCGGAGGATGCGTGTGAAGATGTCTAAAAAAAAGTTCGAATGAAAAAATTTTCCTCCGAAAGGAATGGAAATATTTATAGATCTACACTTAATAATATACAATAACAAAATGAATAAAATACACGAATACTTATTTTGCTATTCTTCATTTTTTTATTACGAATAGTTCGTCGAATGTTATTTGTAAATTCATTCATACGCTCGATTAGCAGAAACGGCAGATTTTGAGTGGCTCGTAAAAATATATTTTTATTCGTTAAAAATTTAAATTAGCTGTAGCTCGATATGTGTGAAATTTCACACATGTCAAATTCATATGTATGGAGTCCTCCATTCCACATACAGATCATCGCCTATGTTCCTGAACTCGATCTATGTTTTTACGCGCAATATAAATGCTATGAAACAAAAGGAGGATGACAGTAAGCAAAATCGGTCAAAATGTGCAACCAGACACCAGGCTTAGTAATATATGTAACATATATGTTACGGAAAAAACTGTCGGACATAATATCACGAAAAAAGTATCATATTTTTTAATATTTCGAAAAATATTATTACGGTATAAGACATCCTGGAAAAAAAAGCCTTACTTTCTAATTCCAAGAAGTATGTTAGGATTTCCAAAAAGGCAAAAAGATTTAAGAAAATCAAGCAAGCTATTCGTGAAAAGCAAGGGCACTCATATAAATTAAGCATCTCAAAAGAATAAAGACATCCAGGCGCAAAATTAAAATTATAAATATACCATTGGTACACGTACAAGTGTAGTAAAAAAGATTTATTTCGATTGTTTGTACTTTTTCATATAAAATGTAAAGACTTTCTCCAAAAGGTTCTAGAGCAAAAACTAAGATATTTGGAAGGTTGTAACCGTGAAGAATTTTAGTCAGTTTAACATAAGTTACAAAATATTAAAATTTAAAGCTATTTGACCAAAACCCTTAAGATTTGTGCGAGGTTCTTTCATAGATTATTTTATCAGTAGTTCATAAAAAATAGATCGCTTTCAGATTACCGAAATTGAAGCGATATCTAATCAAATAAATTACATACAGATGCGAAAATTTAAACCAATTTAATATAAGGCGACATATCCTAACGGATCGAGAACATGCGTGAGAAACTTTGGATATAATAATTAGAAAAATTTGATATGCAAATCATCCATGAAATAGTAATTGTATAGTGGCTTGACTTTCTTTGTTGTTATATTTTTTAAAATAGAGAGTCCTTTTAATTATTATTGTTATATATAATTAAGTTATATATAATTAAAGTTATATATAATTAATATAAATTATATGTAATAAATGATATGTAATTTTTTTATTATTATAACTATTTATAGTGCAAACCAGGAGCTAACCAAGATAAAAAGTAATGCAACAAATGTGGAAATTTTGGAAGCCATGAAACATCCTCAGACTGGTGTTGGTTTCTTAACACAACATCCCTCGCTTCCTAGCCAAACATTTGTTAGCGCCGATGCAATCCAATGGTTAAATAACCATGTAGAAGGAGGCATGGAGATCGAACATGGTATTAATATTATGAAGGTAAAAATTTAAAAAAATTTTATTATCTAATGCAGTTTACAATTTGAATTTATTATCATAATAGTTAATCTCATTATCATAATAGCTAATCTCAACTTGCACACATATAATAATATATTGCGCACATAAATTTCTGAAGTGCTGAATATCCATCATTAGATGCGTTCTAAGTTACACATGAAGCGCATGATGCATCATTTGTTATTTACCAAATAATAAAGAAGGAAAAACGATACATTATGCTTCATGCGTAATGCTTCATTCGGAACGCACCCATCGATAGCTTGATGCACAGGGAATGGGAACTGCCATGTATATCGCTTGACAGAGCATAGCTTAGCCGCATACGTACGCAGCGAATTTTCAAACTCGATTTTTTTCAAAAACTAAGCAAAAAATTGAAAAATTTTATTCTATATATTTTTGTTACTTTTTTATAAGGAATCACGTCGTGCCCGCTTTTACATATTATTCGGCCGGGCCCTGTATATAGAACTTCATCAGTTCAGCCATTACTAAGAACCTACATGTCTCCAGATCTGTCGCAATTCGCTGACTAAAGGAGCAATGTCTCGTGCTATGACGCTTCGCTTGTCTTAGCGCCGAGACACTATCATGTCTCCAGATTATAAAATAATTTATCTTTTTTATGCAGGAAATGATTCAAGACAAATTGATATGTCATGCATCCGGTGATTTCTCACAACCCTTTATCCTCGGATTTTATTTGTATCACATCGTGCAGGATAAAGAAAATCAAAAAGGTAAATGCGATCGAATTTTCAACGATTCGCAATTTAATTGCATTTTTTATAATAGCCGCAGACTATTCCGCTCCGCTCGGGAATTTGCAAAGTTTTGAGAATGAATGGGTAGAAATAGAGATGAGACCATCGAAAGGATGGTGTGAACCAATATCTTCAACAACAGTGTCTACAGTATCCACAATTCCTAGTTGCGACACTATTGATGAATCCAATGTTCCATCTTTTCTGAGAGATGATATCGATTTAACTGAATCAATGGATGATAGAAATTGGACAGGTAACACTAAAAATATTCAATACATGATTTATGTGTATGTCTTCACCTTCATGTTACATCACAAATTTCTTTAAAAAAAAAGTTAATCTTTAATTTTTAATGAATTTAAATCATATATATCATATATGATTTAAATCATATATATCATATAAGAAAATGTTTGTAAAATAATTCAAGGTTCGATCAATAAAGTATAGATCAAACGCGAATTACTTGTATAATTTGTTCTCTTTTAGTGCCATTGTATAAACACACTCATTTGGATATTGATATCAATAATAAAAGTGACAGGATCGAGTGGGGTCATTTAAGATATCAGTCTATTTATAAAGTAGATAATTCTTACGAACTCGTAGTACAATGGGTAGCATCATCAGGCAGTATAGTGGCTGATCTGGTAAATATCGATTTATTTCCTCTTTTATAATTTTTTTATTAGAATATGAGAATCAATGTTAATAATCAATATCTGGCTGTAAGATATTCGTTTGGCAACGCAAAGCTCAAATGTGCGGGATACAGATGGTACCAATTCCCAGCGATTTGTTGGCGTTACCATATACTCTGAAGAGCGATCCTCTCAGAGGACCTATCTTTATACCACTTGATACGGAATGCTTAATGACAAATAAGCGGCACCTCTTTGAAGGTTTGTTCTAAATTAATTTGATTTTATTATCAGTTTTGTTAAAAAACAAATTGTTCTATTTGATAAACCTAATAAATACAAATTTGCAGAATTCCGAGAAGATACCTATGCGCAAAGGTTATTTTTGTTCCAAGAAGCAATCCTGCAGAGATTTGGCTTCATGTCGTGCTTAGTCGAAAATACCGAAAATGATCGTCAGTACGTTCACATCACTGGTAATGCATTTATATTAGTGCCATCTAGCACGAATACTCGGCCGCGTCCGCGAACTGCTACCAATGTCGTGCGGCGAAATACAGGACAGAAAAGATATCCGGTTCATCCGGATCAGTCTAGTCCGCACGAAGCGTACATTACCAGACATGTTGGTGGAAAAAAGGATGACCATAGCACAGATAGGAAAGTAAGTAATCTTATTGTATATTTGATTATTTTAATTTTCATGAATTAATAATTATTGGTATAATAAGAATTAAATTTAATAATATATTTTTTCTGAATGAAATACGAAGAGAATTAATCAAATAGATTTTAGATTTATATTACATTTTTTTTCAACAGCATATTTTTTTTAAAACACTTAACATCAGATATACAAAAAAATCTAGCAATCAAATTGTCTAATAAAAATTATAACTTATTAATTTTAGGTGGGCTTTTTATGGTCTTGGAATCATATGGTAAGCCGTAAGTGGAAGTCTCCTTCGGCGGGCGATGAATTTTTCCAGAAGAAAATCATACAGGATTTTCGACACTTTTGTTCCAATGGAGACAATAGACTTAAAGAATTTTGGGAATCTTGTTGGGAGTTAAAAGAAAAAACTTGTACAAAAGCAAAGTAGCAAGATATTGTTTTTTCCAAAGATTTATAAAATTATTATTGATTCATTTTGTAAATTTCATCAAATTGTTATCATTGCCACTCGATTGTTAGCTTAATATTTCATATGACAAATATGTCGTATGACAAATTTTTTAAGCATGTTGATTGACTGCAGAATAGAGATCTGAAAATCTCTTTGTCTTGTAGCCAATCAAAGGGCTTGAAAAACTTTGTCATACAACACATGAAATATCAGCAGTCTTAATTTACCAAAAATACAATTGTATATCAATGTTTATAAGGTATAGTTAGTACAACTGTTGCAAGCAGGATGATAAAAATATGAATTGTACAATATTAGTATATAATGTAATAATAATAATAACAATAATAATAATATGCATTATAATATTTAAAAGTTAGTGCCAAGCTATATTTATGATTTTGGATTCGCATTTTGCTATTCCTATAAAATTCATGAATAAGCAATATGAATGAGCAATTGAATTTGCATTTGTTGCTTATTATTCATGCTAGTGGAACGTTCTTTTTTTTTTAAATTAAAGTGCACACATACACAGCACACTACTCAGTATTCAAGAATACATATATGCGTATGCCGATCTATTACACATAAAAGAAAATCTTTATCTTAGAGATCTTAGAGAGTTATCTTAGAGATATAGCAGACATTTAGATTGTGACTTCGGAGCTCCATATTTATTGACCCATTAATTTTCTGTGCTATGTTATAAAATTTTTCATTTATTAAGAGGTTTACATTTACGAGAAAAAGGAGAAAAGAACAATTATAAAGACATTATTACTCGATAATTAACAATCAAATACCATACATTAGAAATTGTGTCAAAGCAAGGCATGTATTAAAATAAGGCTTCATCTTGACTCGTGTACACTGGGACGGAGAATTATCCATATAAACGGCGAGCTCCAGGTAATTGGAGATCAAAAGATTTCCACATAGGATTCTTGCACAAATTTTCTAGGAGTAATTGTTGTCAAGTTGGGTTCAGTTACAAAAGATCTGGAAAAGAATCATACGATGAATAAGATTATAAACACTATAAGACTAAGCAAGCATGATCAACCTTCCGCTATACAATACCAGTACTGAAAATCTAATATATATGTAATGTAAATTTTAAGTTTGATGAAAACGATATATGTCATCATCAAAAGCGGATAAATTTTATTAAAACTTTAACTACTCTTAAACCCGTATATAAAATTTTTACGATAAATAATTGGACACATTTAGTAAATGTAACATAAATTAAAATATGCATATATACGATATTTATATCTAATTTATATATTATATTTATTAAATATATTCGATAAAAATTTGATATATACACGTTTCAGGTTAGTTGTGAAGCTACATGTTAAAAGATCTAATATACTCGTACATCTAATTATTATGCAGATATAGGCAGATATATCTGGCATATAATAGATTTGACGATTGAAAAATTTTAACTAAAGAATTAAAGACTTACTTGTGATAAAAATAATCTGCAGCTTCGATTTCGAGCTCCATCGATGTGTCCGCTATCGGAAAACGGAAACAATAAAAAACCGCGACGCTCGAGCTCGCGGTTAATAAAGTTCCGCGAGCATAATAATATCGTTAATATCGTTAATATCGCATAATAATTCCGTAATTCAAATCTCACATATATAATATACTCACATATAAAATATACGCACACATATAAAATATATGGTTCTTATATCTGAGATATATATAAATTTTAATTCTTTAATAAAAAAATATACTGTATATAATATATATATAGACATATATAGACATATTTTGTAATATAGACATATCCATAAGCAGCACAGAAGATTGAAGCAATATTGCAGATTGCAATATAACATTGCAGAAATATTATAGAAATATAAATTAACAATGCCTGCAATATGCATGTAATATTCCAGAAATATTACAAAACTTTTTAATTGTTACTATAATAATATAAAAATATAATTTTTTATAATATTTATGTAGTATAGTCTTTTAGTTTAACAATCATTTTTACGATATAATAATTAATATAATGATAATAATTAATATAATTCACTTTTATATTTCAAATAAAAAAATTTATTAATCTATTATTTGACAGCCATTTGACGGACGTTAGCTAAATTTTATATTTATTTTGAATATGAAATCAAAAGATTATATAATATCGAGTTTGGATATAATCAACGCATCATTATCGGGGTTTTTTAAGTCGCTGATTACGACAAAATAGCGAAAAATTGTTTGATTTTAATGTAACTTGTTGTCGGGAATTTTCGGGGTCACTGATTACGAATCTGATTTTTGAAATTCAAAATGGCGGATCCAAGATGGCAGACAAAAAATCAAAAACTTAATTCTGTGGCTGTACAATGGAGTCAAGTAGGTTTTTTGAATCGCTTATTGCGAATGTGAAATCAAAATTAAAAAATTAAAATTAAAATTACTTGATTCGCCATTTTGAATTTAAAAAATGAGGTCAGATTCGTAATCAGCGACCCCGAAAACCCTCGAATTTTATTAAAAATCAAGAAATTTTTCACTTTTATCTGCCATATTGGGTCCGTCATTTTGAATTTTGAAAAATTTGAGGCCAGATTCATAATCAGCGTGACCACGAAAAATTTCCATGAAAAAGTAACAAATTTCAACTAATTCTACATAAAGAAAAATGTATGCTTTAAAGGGTTAAGATGCCTATAATAAACATCTTTTAAAAATTCTACAAAGTTATTTTTAATAAAATCTTTTTGACATTTTTTAGACATCTTTTAAATATCTTTTGGAAATGTCTTGAAGATATTTTTAAAGAGAGATATCTATAAGATATCGTTTTCTGGATATCCCCACTTGTTCGCAGTAACACTTGACTTCAATATCAATCGCTATAAATTTCGTTGAAATTGATTGATATTACAACGTAAGACGTACTCTCCTTAAAATATTGTTCCGAAAAATTAGTGTTTCAAAAATTCGGTCTTTCTTCTCACTGTATAAATATTACACAATATAATACTATACAAATCAAAGCACAAAAAATATTTTGCAAAGAACGAAATATACAAAAAAAAATTAAAAATATATATTAACACTTTTATAGTCGACTACCAATGCTTAAGTATTCTCTACATTACACATTTATGAGTATAATATAATTAATTTAAATTATTAAAATATTGATTAATATAAAGTATAAAACTAGAAATATATAATTATTATATTAACATTTAATTTAAGTATTATATAAATACGCTTGAGAAGAATTTATATGTGAGCATTTTGAAACAGGAAGATTTATGACAAAGTTGCAAATCATAATAAGCTATCTAATACTTAGCCGAATTAGTCCTCTCTACATATTACCAACAAAAATGTCCTGAAAATAGAAATGCTATTTTGTATTCAGATTCTCGAACAGTTATATTTTGCATAAAAAATTATTATATGATATATAATTTTATTATATGTGTTATTATTTTATTACATGTCATCTTATAATATTAATTTTTAATGTTATAAATTCACGTAAAAGATGTAAATAAATTTGTAAATAAATTTACAAAATAAATTTATCTAATTAGTTTACTATTTTAAACTTATCCTAATCTTGTGATATCCAATTGATATTTTTTCGCGGCGCATAAAATACGTTTCTTTATTTCACGTATACTTCGATTCTATATGACTTTGACAACTGTCATAACCGCTCATTACACGCATCAATAGATAGTGAATCGCACTCTGAAAATATTTGCGTATTCCAAATCATCGAAAAAAAAGTGTCGCTACCTTTCTGTTCATGACTATACTGCGCATTTTACGAATAGCTTGCTGCTCGCTTGCTTGGAACTTTGGAAGCTGATTTTTGAAGGTGGTCAAGAGTATCATCAGAGAGTATTATCGTGAAACTTGTACTTATTTCCGCGCTTCTGTGCATAAAATTTCTGCACTGACACTTCAACGATAAATAAATTTGTATTAGAATAAAAAATATAAAAATTGAGCATTCATACAATATTTCTTTTGGTTCATAAATTAGTTACAATTAAAAAATTGATTTACAGCTTTATTTTCTCAACAAAATACGTATATACAAATACATAAATTTAAAAATGACGTTTTGTGTCAAGATAGAGGCATATTTGCGATATTTTATAAATCTAGTGACTTTACATGTGGCCGAGAATGCCAGATAACATGGTCAAAGGCAGACGCAATAAACTATATTGAATTGACTTACCTTAGTGATCCCCGCGAATGACGGCGTGTCTCACCAATTTCTAAGATTCTTGGCGACCCACGTGGCGGCTTGGTGTTCATGTGGTAACTCGTTCATTGTAACACTTACACTAATATTTTTAGGGAAATGAAATCTGAGAAAGGATATGACTAGGAATCCAAAAATAATTTCTCGAGCACTTACAAACATGTATATTTATTCAATCATTAAAATTTCTGAGTTTGAATCCTTACAAAGTAATATCTATATATACATATATATGTGTATGCGTGTTCGCTTCTTACATATGTGGATTAATCACTTAACTTTATTTTCTTGCGCAATCAGCGACAATTATATTACGTTTACTTGATTACGGGCTCTATTGGGAACACGTGGTAGTAAATTACGTTCGTATTACTAAACATTAATTACTAATTGTAAATATTAAGGCTCCTGAGTAGGCTCATCGTCAGCCTTATTGAATTGTGACGTCAGAAACGAGAAGTGACACGTTAATTTTTATTACGTGCTATTTACAAAAACAATTTAAATAAAACAAAATGTGAGATTGAGACTTTAAAATATTTGTAAAATGGATGAAAACTATGTTTATTCCATTCTGACAGACAGTAAATGATCGTAAAAAATGATGAAAGGCACATGAAGTGCTTTTATTCAATGCGCATGCGTAACTTCCCTACTGAAAAAAATCATGTCCTAAAGTTACAAAATCATGTAATTAAAATAAACAAATCACATAACCGTTCTCAGTATTTTTTAAAATCACGTAATTTGAAATCACATTATATTAAAAATAATTTTTTATCATATAATTTTATAGTTATCGAATTTTAAATAATTAAATGATAGAAATAAAAGAAAGAACATCATCATGTGACTTTTTAAATTATGTAATTTTAAAAAATTACGTACTAATCTGAAATAATCTGTTACATGATTTATATGTTTTAATTACATAATTTCGTTATATAATTTTGTAACGTGATTTTTTTTCAGTAGGGTTATTTTCACTTACATGTGCCTTTTATTACTTTTTATGATAATTTATTAACTGTCAGGGAAGATAGTTTTTATCCATTTTTACAAATGTTTTAAA